CAGATCCACCTACACTGTTAATTCAAAATTACTCTGTCTAAAACTTATAACCCACGCAAATATTGACGATTCGAATAAACCGTTATCTCCGTTCAGTTGAAGGCCTACACTAGGACCTTTTTAGGTGCCCACTAACCAAAAGTATTTACTTGCCCAATTTTCTTGAAGCCAATGTTGGGCCTAATGTAAAAAACGAATGTTAATTCCAATTGATTTATACTTTGCCGTACGAATACAACTGGGCTCTGCAAATACTTCCAAGGTTGCACCACTGAACTTGGTAGAATTACATTGGATATGCATATAAGGCGAAGCGCAAACCCAAGCATTAACAGTCTTCTACATAATCTTATTAGATTTTTTCTTTTAGGGTAGTTTTCTGTATACTGACGATGTGCATTCTAGCCTGTTACGCTTTGGTAAACGGTTAAAGGTGAGCAGGTATGACGCGATGGCCATGAAGCGTTATTTAATTGGATTTTAAATGTCGAGAGAATGAAATGAAATGGTTGAAACAGTTTTTTGACAGGGATCGTTCCGTTGTCTAGGCGTCTACCGCCGTATTCGTTTATACACATATACGATACCTGAGTGATGAGCAAATTGTATAAATAAATGATTTTTTTGTTCTTAATAAACAACCCATAGTGCTTAATTTTCGTGTATATATGGTTTTCTAGTTGATGAGTTTCTTATATTATCAGGTGCTGCCTTGCAGAAAGTCATTTTCATATATTTGATATATGCGAAAAGATCTTACGATAATTTACAAACCATTTGATGCAGGATGTTCTATTTACATTCTCTATTCGGTTCTTCTCGGAAGGTATTCACCAAGATCTTCAGCATCAGCTACGAGGCCGTTCACCGAATCTGTCGGACCTACGAAGCGTGTATGTACATTCATCTATTATCCGCGCTAGGCCGAATCACAGTGAAACATATCATTTCGGGTATCCATCTAAAGCAAATGGACACCAATACGCGCTGTTCTGAATGAAATCAGCCCGATGGAAATTATCGCATTCGCCGGGCGAATCCGCTCTTCGCTAAGACATAACGGATTGCGATGCGATACTGGACAACGAGATCGCTCGAAATAAAAAGAACGCTCTCCATTGTGATTGCTCTTTTTTGTTCTAGATGTTTCTCGCTCTGCTTCCGCCGTATACATAATAGTAGCGGGAGTCGTGGCGCTGGCAGCAGTGGTGCTACGTCGACTCAGTAACATTGCTTGATGTTGGCAAGAACGGAATAGGGACGCCCAAGGCAGTGACACAGTTCGTAACTGCGTCGCGTTTTCGAGCGACCAGACTAGTAGACACCGCAGTACAGCGAATAACGAACAAGGCACGCAAGATAGTGAAGAACGACTTCGATATAGGGATAACTGAGTGGAGAACTGGAAAAGGCGAGGCGGAAAGTCGGCGGCTGGCGACAAAGGGGCCTATCGGCCAGCTAGAGTAAAAGCGCGATGGCATGAACCGAAGCCTAAAACGAGAGCCCGATCCCAACCTAGACCGGGTCACACAATGGTGCAAACGCTAAACTGAGTGGGAAGCAGGCAGAATAGAGTTCCCAAAGAGCAAGGATCTTTCGGAGCAAGCGTCTGTAGCCCTGCTGGTCTCCCTACGTTGGGGGAGGGCCGCGGGAAGAAGGCGTCGGGGATCAAGAGATCAATTGCTATCCACAACCGATATAGCTTCTTTTTATCTTGCTCGTTCTCTGTGCACTTCACTTCTGGCTTTTTGGTGCTCATTGGAGGACCAGTTAGGCCTGGGAAATTTCGCAAAGTCCCCTTTTGTTGCCTTTGTTGCCTGCCCAACGCCTCAAACCGTCGGCGTAGATTCCTTTACGGCGACATCCAGGCAACGAGACAGGGTTTGCTCTCGACAGCAGACTGCGCTGCTGCCGCCACAACCAAAACAGTACTTAAACCCAGAGGAATCAGGACTTAGAAGTGGAAAAGGAAGCTAAAAAGGAAAATAAATAAAAAAATAAGTAAATAAAAAATAGACAAAGAGAAGAAAGAGGCAGAGAAATGGGTGAGCATGTATGTCTCTTTTAGTCAGTCTGCGTCATTCTATTACTTTCTGCCTCCTTTCTTACATTCCGTCACTTCCCTACGTCGCTTCTCTCCCCTGCGCGCGTGTACCGACGAGTGAGCCGAGTGACGGCTAAGGCCTGTCGTGGCGGTGGCCCTGATGGCCGGATAGCTGTACCAGCGGTAGCAATAGCGAGAGCCACACACATAAGCCCGCCGACGCACTAGCAGACGGGCTGCGGCAGGGCAACTACTGTAATGTACGTAAATGGAAATGACCAAGCGAGCAGCCAGCATCAGCTCCTCGCCAGACGACATGGAGGGGTAGTAGGCAGAATCAAAGTGAGAAGAAAATTGTGGAGAGTCAGGGAGGAAAGGGGATCAAGAGAATTCGAGAAGGCGACTCTCGACCCCTCGTCCTTCCCCGCAAAACCTTGTCAAAGAAAGCTTGCTCCGCCAGCATCAGCAGAAACCGGGGATGGGGGGGGGGGGGTGTAAGTCTTTACGCAAAGTGGGGTTTGGGAACATTTCAAGAGAGAGCAGCAGAACGGCAATGGAAGAAAATATCGCTTGACGGGAAACATCGTAGAAGCGAAGGAAGTAGAAGAATAGAGGAAAAATGCACTTGGATTGAGGAGATACTTTAGGGCACCAACCGAGAACGGGAGTTAACCAGGAGAACTGTATTAACAGTAAAGCAAACAGAGCCGCTTCAAGCCCAGTTGATCGGTGCCAACGAGCTGTAGCAGCCTGGGAAGCTAGAACGCTCTTGATGGCGCCATTGCAGCAAAAGGAAGTAATATGCGATTACACTTTTACGCAACACATATCATTCTCTATAAGCGTATAGATAGATGTATGAATGTAAAGTGTACATAGCAACATTCGGCAAGGGGCGGATAACATGAAGAAAATAGAACGCTAGAAAAAAACTTGGGCGAAGCAAGACGCTGCAAAGGTTATTCTACTGTAAAACATTAGCCCCTGAGCGCATAAAATACATGTTACTTTGGTTCCAATAGAAAAATTAAGTAAAATCATCTTTTAATGTGTTCTTTTCTTCCAAAGCATCGACTCAACGGGATTAGGAGGTGGCTAGAATATTTTAAAATAGAGCTTCCGAAATAATCGTGGTGCTTAAAAAGGCCATGGCCATACAGGCAAACTAAGAGGTAATTCATTGGCTAAATCTCGTCAAGCTCTAATTTTGCTAGTTACTAGCTAAATAAAGATAGTATTAGCGAAGAACGCTTTGTACTATGGGCGGTCCCTTGGAAGACCAAAGCGAAGTTGATGGTTACTCAGCTACGCCGAATTTCTATGTTAGATACGGTTTTCATAATAATCTTCTTCAAATCGCAAAAGAATGCTATCATTTCATCGGCTATAATCAATCAACAAAAGCAGCAAATAATAACAATATTATAACTCGACAACATTACGAAGTTCCCTGAAAATAAATGAAGCTCCGATATTTGAATGAGCTCGAGTCGGCACGGCACTTAATTTCATTAATAAAAGTTTTTCACAGTGCTATCACGACGCCTGTATTTCGCGGGTAAGCCTGATAGCCTTTTCATACATTTTATTCTTAATGGACCCAAGGCTAGTGAGCTAACTTTATTGTCAAAGCTCTATGGTAAATTAACTAATAGTAATTCCAATACCCCTAATCGAAAACATACACCTGACTCTGATATTATTAAATTCACAATTGAACTTTGAGAATCCGCGTGATAATTTCTTCTCGCCCGTATGCATTGTCCTGAACTTTGTTCAAATGAGCGCTTTATTTATGAGATCCGCCATTGAAAAACATTTCTTAAGAAAATTCGCTTCAGCGATTTTTCAGTTTTGCATTTTGCCTCATTTGCGTATGACATGTACAACAGGCAAATTTAGTAAATTAGCAAAAAGCGGTAGACATCATATTAATAATGGTTGTAAGCTCTTTTTTGTTGAAGTTACATATAATCATTTTCATCGGATAAGTAGGTGGATTGCTTGCTAGCAGTCACCTGAAGCAGTCGATGACGAGTGTTACAGGACCAAGTCGGGCCGTCTGAAAGATGCAAAACCGATTCAGAGTAACTGTAGCTTCGCTAGATCAATCTTGCTGCACTTCACGCAATTGTCGAAAACAATTAAACAAAGTTCGAGTTGCTGGACTATGTACCCTACCCGCGGGCATGTCTTCTCGTGATGTAAGGCCGTTCTCAAAATATTAATGAAACGATTTGAACAAAAAGCAAATTCGAATGATGGAAACACCATTTAAGCTAAATTAGTAGCTTTATACTTTTTTAGGATCAGTCGCAGTGAGAGCTGTTTTTGCCTTCATGCTGAATTCATGTTGAATCGGAATTGGGCGGAAACGAAACGTTTTATCATTTTTTGACCAATAAAATGCTCTATCAGTTTCTCAAAGTGCCAAACCTACCGTTGCTACTTGCTTTGTCTGTTATCCAATTACGAGGATTTATTCGACAACGAACTGCATCATGATGGCATAACGCATCGCCTAAGTGTAAACAAGCTGGAATCTATCAATTATCTCTCTATATTATATATATATATATAATTATCTTTATCTATTTCTGAGGTCCCTGAGAGTTTTCTGCGGTCTGAGGTTGAATCTCTATAGAGGAAAACACTTCAATCTTCCCCATATTCAGTATGAATGCCCATGGCTTATTATTCAGTTTTTGAAATTAAATAAATGTCAATTTTCGCTTATTAATAAACAAAACATGAATGGTAAAACAGTGCAGAATAATTCTGCATTGATTCCAGATTCAATACAGAGGTTGTATCCCTTAAGTGCTCTTTACAAAACCTAATACCCCGAAGCGATTGCATAATTTAGAGGATGAGTTTTAATTTAAGCGGGTTTCATTTAAAGCAGCCGACAAATTCTTCTATTTTGATTCGAACACTGCCATCATGGCAGCGCTTTCGCGTTCGTCACTATACATCTTTCCCGTCCAGCCTTGGAACATCTACTTCACTGTTAATTTATATATGCTTGTTGTTTTTTTTTTTATTATTCCGTGAACTTCAGTGTCTTGGTGAGTTGTGATAACTGTTTATATGAGAAAAATAAGGGGAAAAGCAAAAACTGCTGGGTTCACTGTGCATGATTTACTTTCTTACAAGAGCGCGTAACGTGGAGTAAAAGGCAATAGCAGAGTAAAACGTTTTGTATAATGGTCTCATCCATCAATTTATAATCTCATTCAAGATATCGAAATGTACAAATGCAAGTAGATTTGAATGTTTTGTTTATAACCAGTTTCATGTTAGAGATGAGTAGCTAATAATGATAAAAATATTAATAACATTCGTTTTCAAGGTTACGTCTTATACGATGGTCGAAACACTCGAACCGGATTTGTCTAAGATTAGGTAGAATGATTACCCTTCAAAATCAGTACTACTGACCTTGTTTAAACATATTGATGAACTCTGTAAAATACGTCGAACTCCTGGCATTTTTTCACCTATTATTTATATATATATATATATATACAATAATCAATAATATCTATATTTGTATATATCGAAATTTGCAGTAAAGAAAATGTAGAGAAGAAAGTTACGTGAGCGTTTTTTAATAAAAGATTTGACATGTTATTATTCATGCAGACCTGCTGGATACTCAGTATGAGGTGCTGGCCTCGTACTACAGTTTTGGACCTGTTATATACTCTATCCGCCATGAACATTTTACAGGATAGGCTCCTTGATTCTCACTTCTCATCCACCTGAATCCACCGTCTCGAAATGTGGCCCCTATGGGTGGCTCTACGCACCTATGGACCATACATCACATTTCCCATTGCAGCCGTCGTTGGTGCTATAGGTATAGAAGTTTCACATGCAGTTTCTATTACATCTATAATTAAATAGAAAAGTGTGAAAAAATGTACCTACGCAATTTGCAAGGTCCACATTAAGGCATTTTTATATGGCATTTGCAAAACAGGTAGTAAATTGAAATTTTAAAAAGTCATAAAGGGTATTCAAAACGGAGTTCCCCATTGACCTGTTGAAAATATGGTATTAAAGAAATAATTAATCTTCTATTATTTTATAACATCTTATATATAATATTTTATAATAATATCGAACTGTTTACGCTGATCATGGACATAGATTTTCAATGCTATGTTAAAAAAGGTTAAAGTAAGAACATTTCGCCTCTACATAAAAAGTATCTTACAAAATGTAAAACGTATTTTTTGTTTTAGGTTATAATTTAGAAGGATGGATGACCAAGCGTCGGACTCCGCCAACTAATAAATCTATTCAAGAACAACGCGTGGAAAGGCACCTGCAGAACGATGACAAAACTGAACAACTACAACAATACAAAACCATATTTGACAAAGAAAGCAATATATCGCCTTCTCTAAAATCATAGCAATGAATATGAAACTTAGATAATATTTAGGCGACTCTTTGTTATGAGAAAAACACCGCATAAGTAAAGGTGTATAATATAGGATCTTTTATTTACGATGTTTACCTATTTGTTAGTATAGTTTTTACCCTAATAGCATTAAATAACGCTAGCGAAATCTGTCTGTCAGAAGCGTAGTTAAAAAACTAATGTGCAGAACTAAGATAATAACGCCTCCCCAACTGCGAGAGCACTGCTGGATATTCTAGAAATAAAGATTATATATACAAAATGTCGTATCATGCATTTTCAACGCTAATTTTTAGGTAACGCTGAGAAACGTTGAAGACACATAATTCAGATTTACGCAACAATGTCTTTACAAATTTGTCTTTAATCAGTTTGGTGCTTAACTTTATTTGCTTTAATCAGTGCTTAACTTTGGAGTTTACTTGACAGGCTAAGTATATAGTTTCTTTATCATTTTCACATTAACTCGAGTTTCAACTTCGCCCCTAGTGCTGACCAACCTGGAAGCTCACCGCAATGCATTGAAAGCTGCCACAGTTTACTCGTTGCTTCACAACGGCCTTTCTTAGAAAAGAAACTGCCAAAAACCGAATAGTAACTGTAGATGCAGATTATGCTATAGACAATCCTTTATCTAGCGCCTTTACCTTAAAATTCGATTATCCTTAGTTTCTTAGACAATTTTACTCCGTGCTATCCATTAGCTCGATATACATATCTGCTTGAGACATATCTTTTCTGTATAATGCAGTTAATAAATATAGAGTAATATTATCGAAGCAGAGGTTATGAGCCAAAATTGACTTCAGTTTTAAGATGATGCTTTGATTTTCAACGCCCGGATTTAGGTCGTACTACTTGAATTGTGCATTTTGCATGCGTCACAGGCTTGCGAAACGAGCGAAGTAGTGTGGCTGGAGTACAACGGTTTTGCGCCTTTCGCAATATAAATGTAACGACAGAAACACAAACGACAGGAGCCAGTTCTTTCGCACCGTGTTTTCATAGAATAATGATTGAGTCATAAACAAATATCGCATAATTGAGCTACTTGAAATGCGTGCTATGCTTTATGGAATCTGCCGCTTATATTATTTTTCACTTATTATCGGTGCATAGGCAGTAAAACACCTGGTAACTATAAATTTCTGTCTATAGACATAGACTTTTTATTTATAGAGATATTACCCAAACAGAAAAAGCTAGAGTCTAAATCCAATAACGACAAAATATAATTTGATTAATGGTCTACCGAACCAACTGAACAGTCACCTGCAGAATTCAGAAGGGAAATGCAGAAGAAATATTATTATATAGTTTGAAAAGTCTAAATATTACTAGAAGTACAGAGACGAGCTTTAGCTTCCAGTCACATTTATAGCCTTGGCTGGCGATTAGCAATTCGTGAAATGGTAACATACGATAGTATTTTTTCGCACATTTTCCAAGTCAATCGTATTTGACCCTTGACATTTATTCAACTACAGATATTAGCCGAGCATAAAGAAACACGCTTCTGTTTGAGAGAACACTTGTCACAGCTATAGAGTGTTCATCACACGTCTGTTAACGCAGCAGGAAAAAGCAAAAATCACTGGAAACGGATTTAAGTCTGCACTTCAATATGATTTCTTCATTCCTATAATAGCGTGTTGTAAAAACATATTAAAGAATATTCCGATATTAATCAATAAAACCATTTGAATGATCAGGGCAGTCATGTTTATAGCTACTGAATTTAAAATAACATCTATAAACACTATAGCATTATAAATGGTAATATTTGAATATAGAAATAATATAAAAATGTTCTCGTCACGAATCTCTTGCATAGTCAAATTCGCTCATTTTTATCCACTCTCGTTACTTCAACACATGTGTAATGAAGACTTTGTAATTGTCATGAAGCTTTTTCAAACTGTTCGGTAACTTTTGACTCGCCCTGTATACGAGTAAGCCAGAAGTATTTTCAACTTTTCCAAATTGGTATATATTGCATAATCTAGTTGGATACTTGTCACATATTAGAAAAAATAGATTATTCTCGCGTAAGATTTAAACGACCTCCACATGCAAGGGAATAGAATGTGTGTTACTACTACTTAGTCTAAATTAATTTAGAATCAATATTTGAAACGGCGGTATCTTGTAAAGTTTTTCGCCTTACTTGCGCATAATGAGGGACACATAGCAATTGTATGTAACCTGATGTTTTCATTTATTTGTACAAATGAATAATATTTTATGACTAGAGGATATGCAACGCATTACTTCTGTGTGTTTTTAATACATGGCAATGGCTAGTCGTTTCGGTAACCTAGACAATAGAGGCCATGGCGGTTTCAGAGATATAAGCATTGATTTGTGCCCCCCAATTGCCCCTTCAGCGTTTATTGAAGGGTTGAACATCTGGCTACTGAAGACAAATTGCGACATCTAGATCAGCATATGGGCAAGTTTTCGAATTTTGCGCGTTCTTGCTATTTGTAGCGCCTCTTCCAAGACATCGCGCATTTTCCGAAGATTATCGACACTGCATTCCACGTTCACCTGTGGAAATTAAAGTATGCCTCTCGTTTGCTTTAATTAAACATGGAATAATAATCGTAAACAGAAGGATTCTAATCCTTAACACACATGTTGCCTCCCAAGTGAGTTTTTGAGTCACCGGCATTACTAACATCTTTGACGCGCTACAAATGTCTGAAACTAAGTCTTGTCCTTTTATTAAGTTTGAAAAGGAAACAATATTTCTTATGTCGGAAGGAACCTCATTAGCAAGGTTATTCAAAAAAAAATAAGAGATAACTAGAAAGGTTAGAAAGGTAGTAACCAACGTCTGCTAACAGCTACTTAAGGAGTACAATCTATGACTAAAAACCTGTAATTTCAAAGAGTTTGCCATATAAATTTTAAAATATTTGATTGAATTTCATAATGAAATTAAAGGTGACAAAGCTTGACACCACAAAGTTGTCTAACCTATGCACCTTTCTAACTAACACTCACAGCTATTTATAAGAAAAACCTATCATTCAGTGAAAAGACCTTATTATTCTGGCCGTTGCAGTCCATGAGGCTAAACTGCAAGACTAATCTCGGTTTCATGGTTGCTCGTACTGCTCGTGAGGCTACCACTGCTCCCAAACGCCATTCGAGTCCACAGTAGGAGATCGGAACAGGATGAATGAGTCGAAGGTGCTGATTTAACGCTTCGTGCACCTGTTGCGAATGTTCGACACAAAGAACAAATGTAGTCAGTGAGAGCTAGTTAATTTTAACAAGTAATGATATATATAGTAAATAGAAGCAGTAGTACACAAAAATCTCCCTCATGTAGAAAACTCATGTGGAGAATGCGGATACTGCATCTGCATAAGGGTATTATCCGAGTTTGAGTGCACACAAAGTACCTTCATAGAAGCTGTTAAAAAGTTGCGCTAATTTCTTATTCTATTATTTAGCACATTTAATTTAACGCGCAAGAGAGAGAAATCCCATTAAACGGAAGTTGCTTATTAGGATATGGGCAATAATTTATTATAAAATTTATCATAATCAATCATATTTTGTCGTTGTGACCAAAAAAGAACAATATTGTGCTGAAAAGAACTATTAGAAATCGGTCTCACCTCTGAATAGCTTTCAGCGATAATGTCCACAAGACTTTGTGACAAATTGGTCAGGACAAGGGTCTCTTGTAACCGTGCCAAACCTCTCCGAGCAGCGATTTTAAATAGGGCTGTTAACGCTTCGACACATTGTCGAACAACCGCTGCATCTGACTGGAAAACCAATGATAATCGAGTAAATATACCTAGCATATAATGTATGAGATATCCTTATAATTATGAATAGGTTGAGCTTACATTTAATCTTGATGCGGCTTTGCCGTAGAGTTCATCATTCCTCGCGAGATCGCCATGGACTTGAAGGGTTTCTAGAGCCAGCTTACAAAACTTTGCTGTCACATCAGCATCAAAAACATTAAGTTGCTCTAGATGCGATTTGTGGACCGTTTCAAGGGTCAGCATCTTGGTGGAGCAATCGTTAACTCTTTCTTGTCTGCACGCCTTGTCATGAAAGAAAAACGTAGAATAACGAGCGTTATTTATTCGATTGAGCATTGGTGGTTATAATGATGAGCACATCAGTTAACTCGTTAAGTGGCGTCAATAAATATACCAAATTGTCTATTCTAATAATAAGGAAATCTTTATCCGTGCTGAGTTTAATTACTCTTTTTTTTTGGTTCTGTTCTGCCTACATAAAATCATATTTAAGTACCTGAGGCATTCACCAATCACACTTGCAATACATTTGTATAATACACTTCTGACAAATATTGCTTGTATGTTTGTCAAGTAAGGCATATAGATCTAGATAAATATTCATGTGTAATGTAGAATGCTACTGAGCATCATTCTGAACTTGATACCGTTTCAATATATTCACTACCTTGAAGCTCATCATTTGCTATAAGTCTGCGATTGACTGTTCTTTAGTTTCTCCTCTTCAAACCCCTATTTAATGAAGGGAACTTTCGGATACATTCTGGAAATTAAATTATAAGATTCATAATCTTCTAGATTGAATGTCCTTACGGTCACTTCTGTCGAAAGCGCAGTTTTTTTTTAGTGTATTTTAACGCCGTTCTAGATGCGTGTCCTATATGGAGTTATAGTAGTTTATAGAAAAGAACTATGAAGATGAGACGAAATGATGCAGGAATTGTCTATTTTTGTCAGTTGTGCCTGTGTGTGTTTGCGTGAATATCGTCTGCGCTTTCGGTTATTTGTTTAATTTCCTGGTATAGTGCGTAATTGGGGTATACATATGTTACTCTATTGCTGTGTTGTATCTTAAAAACACTACTGGCAATAAAGAGAAAAATAGAATAAACATTCTGTTGTAACCAGCTGAATATACTTAGCTAGTCACGATTTATTTGAATGGAATCCCGTAGGAGAGCAAAAATATTGGTGTGTTAATACGAAGTTATGATAAAAAACCTCGGAAATCATTCATACAAATGGAGTTCCACGTTTGAGGCGTATGGGTGAAAACAACAGACCCTTGTAATTCCAGATCCTATACAAACAGTCTAATTACGTAGCCTTTCTCACTACCTACTGCCAAAAGATTTCAGTCAAGTTTCGTTAAAATGAATCGTATTTAAATTCGAATAAATTTTCGTACGTCAGAAAGGTTTGTTTGCATTTGCTACTGCGGGATGATTGCTAACCCTTACGTTTAGAGATGCACAATGCTATTTACCGTCATTTTGCACGAAAACATTGATCATCTGGATAGGAAATTATCCTCGTCCGCACTTCGGACAGCTAACACGCTAGTACCGACACACGCTGCTTCGCTTATCTGGTTTCGAATTTTATTAAACGATAACAATATCCAACAATAGCGCATACTTATTAGCCACTTACAAGCTACAATTGGCAGTTCAAAAGGGACAAACGAATTTTTTTTGTAAGAAAATTTCTGCAAAGGCTACGAAACTCCCCGCGACTATGTTTTCCTTCGGTATCTAGCCCCCAACTAAACGGGCTAGTAGCTGTCAGAACGGCGGCGCCAAATTCGAATTCGCAATTTGCGAAACGCAACTATCCTAATTACGTCCGAAGAAGCATTCGCCGATTACTGCTAGAACCGCAGTAATTGTTTTAACTAGTCCAGTCGAAGTAGGATTCTGCGGGCCGATCTGCACGCAAGTTGTTCTTGAATAGTGCGCCAAATGGCTTCACGCCAGATTGGCGGGCTAGCCAAACAACAAAGCGTGTTTGCCGGTACGGGCGCCTGTGCTTGCCGGTGCCTAGTGGTGACTGCTGGGAGCTTCTTTCTCCACGGTGCTCCAATCGCTGTGTGCTCGTGGGAGTCAGACAGAAAGTCTCGCATATCTCGTGTAGTCTCGCCGCGGTGTTCGAGTGCTATATTTACGAGTGAAACTGCTAATCGTCATTGAGTCGCTAAACTCGCCTGTAGGGTTTTAGCTAGTTTGCACAACAGTAGCAGTTGCGCGAGAGTCAACGATTGCTGCTACCGCTTGTCGACGCCTTTCGAAAGTGCTGTTGTGTACGGAGCTAGAGCTTAAGGCAGGCAAAGCCGAAGACTTATTGTTACTACTGCTGTAGCCGCTGAAAGCGTGTAAGCGCGACGACAGTTTACATTAAGACCGAGATCGACGACGACGACAGGCTCGCGCCTCGATTCGTATAAACTACTAGCTGTAAGTAAATCAAGTGGTAAACCCACCCTTCCCCCCCAATTAGCAAAGTGAAAATGTCCGCGTCCAGCCCGAAGAAGGCAAAGGTTGAGGGTGGCGATGATCGCGACTATGATGCGGAGACGCAGAAGGCGCTCGAGGATATCGACGCCTGCCAGAACGAGATTGACGCCTTGAACGAGAAAGCGTCTGAGGAGATACTCAAGGTCGAACAGAAGTATAATCAAGAGCGTAAGCCGTACTTCGACAAGCGCAACGAGCTCATCGCCAAGATCCCGAACTTCTGGGAAACTACGGTAAGTGTTGTGTGCGATACGAAACAAATGAATGACGGTTGTGGCACCCTCATAGTCGCTATTGCTGCCACAGTCAATAGCCTGCTTTATGCGTTTGATTAGGCAAGCAGCAGGTAACAAGCCAGTCTTAGGTACGGTAGCCATAACATAGTAAACGCATGGCCAGGTTGGCTCAGCTCAGCGGTAATATCGTTGCGTTGCCGGCTTTGCTTGCTCCCCTGTAATACTCATAGACAGCGCTGTATATCTGGACTTTACTGCATAGGTTAGCTAGGACACGGCAACAAGCGGTCCGCACCGCTTAGCCCATTGGCGCTATGGCTATCGTCGTGGTAGTGCGGCGCGACACTCTGCTGTCGCTGTTTCTGCTGCTATCGGCCGGTACCCAGTGAGCGAGCGGCCTGCTGCCGTAGTCGTCTGTTGTAGTAGGCCTAGCAAATTGAACGAGTTGTGCATGCTTGCGCCATGGCTCGACGTGGTGTTTGCCGCTCTCTGTGTGTGCTGGCTTGCACTGTTCGGTTTGCTGTATATATATATATTCTCATGTGGCTGGTCCGGTTCGTCTCATACAGCAGGGTCGCTATTGTCGATTATTGCCAATGCTCTAGCCTCTTTGCTGCTTATAGAGACCCCTAACAGTGATATTAGCTGAACCGACAGCGCTGAGCGGCATCGTGTAGCCTGCCACTAGATAGAAGCTTTGAAGTAATACGGTCCGGTCCAGCAGGCCGCCGCGCTTGCCATAGAAAAGAAGCAGGCAACGAGCGGCCGGTGGTCGGTGTTACCGCTAGGCTTTGCTATGAGTTCTTGGGGGTTGTCTTTACACAGGTAACGCTGATGTGGCGACCTATGACAATCGCTGCTGTGTGGTCCTCTTTGATGATATATTATGATCAAGCTATCGGGTGAAAAAGTGGAAGGCAGATATCGAACACAAATGAAAAGTAATTTTTGTAGCAGTATTGGTGTGGTTCGAAAAGTAAATGCTTCCGAGTATTGCCTGGCGCAGAAAAAATTTCAGATTATATGAACTTGTTGGCAACAGTGGTTACTATTATTGTCTGGGGTAGCCGAACTTATGCGCATATACATTGTTGATAGACATACGGATGCATTGAAAAAAAGTACAGTTTACTATTCTTACATGTAAAGTGCATGCAAGACCGATGCGGATATAATTTTAGCAGTGCGTCTTGGGCAAATGAGGCGTCGGCTGAGATATCGGCAACATAATCATTCAATGGCGCAAACAACATAAAAGCATATTAACGAAAAATGTGCTTCCTAGTGGTTAGAATAATTGTCTTTTCATATAAAATCTGATAGTTTTCATTTTCTCCAAATCTTGACGTTTGTGAAAAACAATGATACCATCTTAACCAACAGATTGTAATACTCAGTGGGACTCCACCGGGTTTTCACCTTGCTTACTATGATTTCACTGTCTACGAGCATCCAAAAGAATCGAATAATGTCGGTACATTTCTAAACTAAAGGTACTATAATTATTTATCCTTGCTTAAACAATAACATTTATATTATCGGTTGCGTAAGAATAAGTTACGTTTGTTTTTAATACCATGCGCATATACTCTAAAGGTGGTTATCACTTACTGGTAAATTGGGGCTGTTTTTACTTTGTTCTATTACTATTATTCATATAACTATTGTCGCTGTTTTTGGTTTTTTGTCAAGATGAGAATCATACCTGCCTCTCCCCGTGACCGTTTTGGTCAACGTGAACCCTTGCAGAAAGGTTCTCACTTAAACTAGACTGGGAACCTTTCCCCTCAAGCTACCATTTGTGAATGGGCAAACTGAAGACGAGTGCCAATACGACAACCGGCACCTCTCAGGTGGGCGCTCCGGAACAGGCTGCACTATTCGCCGCGTTCAACGTCCCTCTTTCCCTCGAGTTGTTCTTTTTATGACGTTGTGCTGTCGGTGCCGTGTGGCTGTTCGGTACAGGTGCCGAATTGCTGGCCACTTACTGACTGTCGGAGCCGTCCTCATCTGTCTGAGTCGTTTGAATCGGACACCGGGAACAGCGACGACAAAAACAGAATAAATCAAAGTAGAATCTAACCGAAAGCAGCAATGCTTGTGGAGACTGAGAAGTGCCTTGTTTATAGAGAGGGATGCGTAGAATACAATCAAACTGTGCCCACGAAAGCGATTTCAGCGAAGACGAAGACAGAAACCACCCTTTAACATTTCGGTCGTCGTCTGCTAAATTCTCGTTGTAGCCGCACTCTGTCCGTTTTTGTCTCGTTTTTTTTACATTTTTTTTTCTAGGATGTATCGCAGCCATTAGATCCAGCGAGACTAATTTTAGATTTGGTTTCAAAAGTTGTTGACGGTAACGCAATCTAACTATCTGGAATTAATTACTGGCTGGCTACTGTTTTAAAGCCTCAAGCCGCTTGAACCATTCAGGCAACTGCAGTTGTTTCTTGAATAGTGAAGTACCAAGAAAAACGAACACTTCACGCCTCTATGCTATTAGTACAAGTTTGAAAGTTAAAATTGAGAATTCGAAGAAGAGGTAGCGCCGGGGATAGGCCTAGTGTTTATTTTGTTTGTGTACACTGCCAATCGACGTGTAATGAATTTAATGAGAATGAAGCTGCCAATAATTAGATATGCAAGTTGCTTATACAATTTCATGGATCCGTTCATCTTATTGTTTTCGTCTAATTGACACACCTCTCTTCGCTCGGTTTCCGCCGTGTACAACCTTACTTGGCTTTTAATAACAAACTGTAAGATCTTTTAAAACTATAAGCTCACTATGGTTAGCATAAAACATAAAACATTTACAACCAGGTATCTTGCTGCAAGTAAAACACTTTAGTGTATCTGGGGTGCTCGTATTTGTCATTGTGTATTACAAACTTAAGTCTAAAGCGCTCTTTAAGCTCCTAGTTATTATATGTCTTCACGTTACAACTTCAAGACGTCTATCAGTTTTCGTAGTATCCAGTAGTATTTTCGATTGTGAAGGACGTGAGTTGACTTCAACCTGGTTCATGTATGTCTCGATGTGGGAAGGTCACAAAGTTTAATGTATTATTTCTCATAATTCAATTCAGGGAAGAACTTATAGTATCAAAATACACTTTGCCATTTTTTAATCTACGAGAGCATACAAGATATTTAATTAAAATTTTATGGTGTTCCCTGCTTTTTAGTTCGTGAATCACCCGCAGATTTCAGCAATCCTTGATGAAGAAGAAGAGGAATGCCTGAAACATCTCCGCAAGCTTGAGGTTGAGGAGTTCGAAGATATTAAATCAGGATACAGGATCAAGTTCCACTTTGAGGAAAATCCGTACTTTGAGAATGATGTCCTCGTCAAGGAATTCCACCTTGCAACATCAGGTGAGCTCCATTTGTTTTTCATGGCTTATTATGATGTCTGATTCAACCGGTAAAAACGCCTTTCATTCATTTCAGCAAAAGCACATATTGAATCTCAAGCATATGTTTTTGATTTTCCACGATAATATCGACCTAGTTAAAAATCCTGTCGTTTTTGTCATTACTTTTTGTTCGCAATATAGGCGATCCGTCATCGAACTCAACCCTTATTAAGTGGAAGCCGAATATGGACCTAACAGCTAAACACAAGGAGGCATCTAAGAACAATGGCGCTAGCGGCCAACGCAAGAGGCGTTACGATCAGCCCCGAACCTTTTTCACCTGGTTCACGGACCACGCGGACGCCTCAGCCGATGATATTGCCGAGGTAATTAAGGACGATATGTGGCCTAACCCGCTGCAGTACTTCCTCGTGCCCGACATCGAGGTGGAGAATGGCCTCGAAGAGGAATCGGACGGCGAAGAGGACGAGAGTGAGGCCGATGATGAAGCCGTCGTCGTTGTCGAGGAGGAGGAAGCCAGCGAGGGTGAAGGTGAAGGCGACGATTGAGTCTCCTTTCTCAAACGAGACCAACGCTACCACTCAAGTGTCAGTTGGACGGACCGTTAATGGACGATTGACTCAACGGGAATCGAGGAATGGCAAACAGCACTTACGTAATATCATCGCCAAGAAAAAACTAACCAGCAACGTTGAGAAGAATTAGTGCGGGACATCGTTGTAAAAGACTGGCATCAGCGAACACGGCGGCCAGATGGACACGAGTTGTGCATGGCGTATTGCAACGAAAAGAAGCGCCCGTGGTTTTCATATTGCAGATCGGGTCGTTGTTGTTGTTGTCGTCGTCGTCGTCCTTCTGGTAACAGACGGAGCGGGGCTAGAGGGAGTAAATGTCTTCAATTAATTGGTGAACCATGATACCGGCCGTTCCTCGATACCTCGAAGTGGTTTGATTAAGCCAAGAGCGGCATCCAACAAGACATTTGGTTGGTTGTCGCTGACGAATTTCAACGGATTCTGGGGGGTAACGCTTAGAAAAGGAGGTATTTCGGATTATATATATATACATAGATAGGCAGTGCGAGACGGGTGGAACGTGCTTCGTCGCGCACGTCGATTTCGGTGGAATATATAGTGGTTGGTGTGCGTATGTGCGGCTAAAACGCACATGACAAACTGTCACTCGTGACAATTTACATTGATATATTGATGAGAAGGGAGGTTGGTAGCAACAAGGAGAAAGAACACTAACGGAAAAAGCGAACTAGCCGGATAAAAATATCTATTAGATGATAATCGCTTGAAAATTAGTGCGCGTATGCGCTGACCCGGGAATGAAGCAAACAAACAAAATGATTGATACGGCAGAAAAATGTTCTCAGCACATTTATAACTGGCTATAGATACGTATACACAGACTCACTGATAATACATGGCACATGTCAATGAGAGCCGATTGTGTCGGATGGGGACTGGTGAAGCTGCGGCAGAAGACCAACCTAGTGCTCACGCAAAAGGACAGGCGAGCAGAAAATTTCAATATAATCAACAGAAGAAAGTGAAGTAGATAAACGGTGCACTTAAGAAGGAACCGCCTGTAGGGTGGTAATACACGATGCAAGGGTCTAATGTTTGCGGCAATGAGTCTTTACTTTGCCATAATGTTTAAATGCGAAGGACTTATATCATATTGGTTTGTGTCAACGGCATTATTAGTACACAGAAGAGGAATCAGGGAAGAGAAAATCTTGTAACCAGAACTAGTGAAATTGTACGGTGCATGCGATATTTGATATATGACATGATATATCTCCGGATGTAACCAGTCCCTGACGAACTGACACGAACGTCACCCACTGCCTGTGTCCAATAACAGCCGAAAGGAGGATGGACGCGTTGGCAGCGCTGCAGTGTTTTATCCCTGGAAGGCTGGCTGCCAGTTGTGAAAGAACTATCCTTCGTAGAGCCACGTTCATTCAGGTGAAAGAAGGTATTTGTGGTGAAGATACGAATGATACTGACAACAATATATAACAACATTAAAATGATTGCGGGAATAGCACCAACAAAACAAATAAGCAAAGAAAGAAAAATAAAAACTTGAACAGTTGCGACCGAGACAAGCGGGACGAGTTTATCCGTTTCCACAAGATAGTGGACAACTTCTACATTGACTCGAATGGGCAGTTGCTTGGATTTCTTTTCGACAGCCATCATTATTATTGCATTTTGTTCATTACAAAAATAGTGATGTTTATGGACTGATTTGTATACGTACTATTATTATTATTATTGTTATTAGTATAAACCATTGTATTTTAGAAGTGATACGAATATACGTGATTTTCGGATACCCGTTTTTTTGGAAAAATATATATATACAGTCAGGTACACGCTTCGTTTCCATGCGCGGCGCAATGGGATTCCAAAGCGTATCGCTGTCGATGGCTTGGAATTGTTTTCATTTTTTCACATAAACCTTTTTATTGAAGGGTATTATCATAACTATCCACGCATATTGTATACTTATTGCCTTGCATTAATCACAGACAGGTTACATATTTAGTAATTATGCGGGCAAGATGACTATCAGCAGGAATTGTTATTATTACTTTTTATTTTATTATTTAGCCATTGTTTTGCTAAATTTAGTTAAGTCGACTTTGTTTTTCAAATGACTTTCTCCCTCTATATATATATTTATGCGATAATAATGATGATGAGATACAAATCATATTAGTAATGATAATTGTGATGAAGCTAACGGAGCAGCATTTGTGAAAGGCGACATTTTACGACGCCAGCGGAACATCCAATCGACTCAACCGTTCCAAGATACATTTTTCCTTTTCTTTCTCCTTTTTCGTCTCCTCGAGTTTGTTTTGAGGTGTTCGAATGTTAACGCCGCACAAAGCGCAAGCTGCTGCCCAGCCGAGGTCATGAACTTGTGAATAAGCAAAAAACACACACGACGAGATCGATTTGTATAACTTGATCTGCAGGCCAAGTAATGGGTGACACTGCGATGTATAATATTACGATTACAGGTAATGACAAATAAAAGTAATGAGAATAAACTGACTATGTGTACCACGACAAAATTGTTTGTTTCTTTTCTAGATTAACAATTACGAGCGGATAGTTCGTTTTAGATATGTTTGCACATAACAAGTCACCGGCCTTATTACGTTGCTGGATGAAATTCATTATGAATCATTTGTTGATGTAAAGCAATGAACAAGCACCTCGGGACAGTGTGCCGATTTTCTATATGAAATTAAACTATCATAATATTGACTAAGTGTTGTTCCTTCCTAAGCGATCTAGCCCATTCATAATACAACAAACCTTTAGAACTTCCGAAATTTAAGAGCATACTATTTTTATTCTTGTACAATGCTAAATAAAAATCTTTGTAGTTCTATAGTAGGTAATAGTGCTGAACTTTTTTTTATATAATTTAAAAAAAGCTATTAGTATTGTCAAATATCATTTGGTTTATTGACATAGAGTACAGTGTCGGTTTGCACTGTACGTTATTGTGAACGGAAGCTGTTCATCTTCTGGCCCTACGTGACTTTTCAGTATCAAGGCAGTGCTCTGGCTAAATGTAAAGCTTCGAACAATTTCAACGTACTTCCACCTGTCATATGCACGCTGTTAACACTTTCAGTTCGTTAAATCGCTGTCACTATAATTAATTAAGCATGCTCTGGGTTTTAATTGTCTATTGGCTTTTGACACAAAGCATTTAGGCGAGCACATGGCACTTTGCATTTATGAAGTTAACAAATCTTTTGAACAACTCTTTTGATGTCACTGTGGCGGGATTGTACTTTTTTACAGTAGACTCAGAAGTATTTGGTTCACAGAAATAACTGATCTATCTACAAATGATTGTAAGTCAAAAACACTACTTTTCCGTATCATACATACATCGTATCTCAAAAAATGACGTTTACAAATATTTTTACATGTTTGTTTAGTATCTTTTACTGAGTTCAAGATTTGGCTGAAAAGCTTTTTGGTATCCCCAATGCGATTCTAATGTTTAGATGTCTAGATGTGAAAGAAGTAAAGGGTATTTCCTACGCATTTTTAATAGCAATGAATTACGAGTTCATTTTAAGCAATAAATTACACAGATACGAGTCTAAGTGTAGCGCCTTGGTTCGAATTAATAGTGACAAAGATTTGTTAGTACGAATTCCTTCCACTAATGGGTTATTTATGATGTGTGGACTTATTGCTTTTAGTTTCAATAGCGGATTGAAGCAAGTTACTCTCCAAACTTCTTGTGTATCTGTCGAACAAAACAGTATTTAGAGAACCATAGTTAATGATATTTAATTATTATAAATGAGAGACAAGGTGTGAAAGTGATAGAACAGTAATTTCGGAAATGTAATTTTTTTATTCGCTAACAATCAGATCGAAATAAAACTAGATTGAATTGTATTGTTAATTATTATTTTAAATATTCGATTTGTAAATATGGCGACTTAAAAGATCGCTATTTACGAAACTGATGGAGAGCGAAGCTTCCATGGCAGCCGGTGAGCCGCGCACGCTACTCGATTGTGAGTAATATCAAGGCAATATGAGCAGCATCAGCTGAGTGGAATAATGTGCAGCTTCGTTGGCATTTTCATGATGCTGTAGGTTGAACGAAACAGTAGTATCTCAGACAAATATGTGACTGCGGCAGCGCATTTGTTGGTCGTTTCTTATATGTGATCTCAATCAGGCACGTTATATTTTGAACGCAGGAAGCCAACATGCCCTGGTCCCTTTCACAGCGCGATAAATTATTATGTACTTTAATTGCAACTAGAGAAAATTCAGGGCATACTGTTTTGTATTTACAAGGCAGCGAGAAAAGCTTAACGCTAGAGAGTGCAATGTGCGCATACGCTTTGGCTTTTGAAAACGTATTAGATGTGGTAAGAGTGGTCTTAGTTCGAGGGAGAGGGGATTCAGCCGAAGCGCGGAAATTTACACTGCACAATAATGCACTGCAGAAAGTGCCAATTGTTGAAGAAGCGCCCGAAGAGGTACGAGATGTTGAACTTCCGGCAGTTTACGTTCAGGTAAGAACTTTAAGATCTTTGTGGAAGAAATCATTACCATATTACGAACTTTATATACCATATATTGACACAGGCTAGACCAATGAAACGTCAATCTTTGTTTTTCAACAAGATATCACAGATTTAGTAGTGGTCAAAAGTACGGGTTGGAAAGGCGTAATGCGGCAACGCTTTGAGAAGAGTTTACGGTCTATCTTCTTAAAATAATAATTATTAGACACTATAGAAGGCTATATCAGTTAAGCTTTTCTTAGTGTATAACGTTTTTATTTTAAATTATATAAGTTATTTGAATATGAATGACTTACCCTAATAAACGGCCTTTTTCGACGGTGCTGAGTATATGTTATTCATCTCGTTAATAGCAGATTCAGTTACATCTTTATAAATTTTTTCTTGCTGTGGTGAATTTCCAGGGAGAACGGAGAGTGATTGCAGGGCTATGCTCCTGCTTACGATACATACTTCTGCAGAACAGTAGGGTCGATATTCTTGGCTTTCGAGCTGCGTGTCTTGCCGCATGTGCCCAGGTAACTACTGGTGTTTTTCATTGAGTGTTTAAAGGAGACAGAGTGTTGACTTGATATCTGAGCTTGAGTGTAAAATACATTTTTCAGCTTCTGTAGGTTACCCTAATTATTTGATAAGGCCTTTTCCCATTCTAATTGTTTGTTTTATCCCTCGGCAGGTATCACTATGGACATCATTTTGCGAACGAGACATGCCTTCGGCATTGTTGAATTTTCCTGTGTATTCCCAAAAGATGGATGCACAAATTGCCAGTTGGTTTCCGCAAGAGCTGCTGTTACTTGAGAATCATTTGCGTATTCCGGTCCGCACCCATAATCACAAGCATCTTAAGCAAATGCTACAAGTTGAGGAACTTAATCACGACTTTGTTGAAGGTAGCCGTTATAAAGCTTTTAGCTTAAAAAGTTAAATATTCTTGTCAAAGTAAAAAAAAAAATAGTGAGAAAGGGATGGTCAGAGTATGCATAGAATAAAAGTGTATATTTCTATGGTGTATTTTCTATCTATACAGTCTTTTTTACCATGTTTTTCAAAGGCATGTGAAAATATTCCAATTGTTGTTGAGCTTTTGGTATATTTTTACTCTTGTGTAACGGACATTTCTGCAAAACACAATGCGAGGAATCACCTCACGATATTATTTATCACGATATTGATTTATATGAAATAATATAACTTTCATTTTATTGGCAGGCATTACGCTTACGCTATCGGACTTGCTTCTCTTTTTCATCGTGCATCTCATGTTCAAAGAAATGATGCAACGCTTCGTGTTTGACCAAACAATACCTCTTGTATTTAAGTGGTATCAAAGAATGCTGAACCTAAATATGACCAAGCCGAATCTGGCCGTCTTTTTGGCACTGCGGATATGTTTAAAAGAACAGTCAAAAGACACTATCCACTCAGAGTTAGTCGTAAATCCCCACACTGTTCTCACTCATAACGGAATAGAAAAGATCCGCGTGGCGCAGCTCCCTCTTCCCGCGACGTGTCTTTATTCACAGAGCAAAATGAATATGTCCCTAAGAACGCGCGTCAAGCACAAAGACGCCTCAAAACTTCTCCGAGTACTTCAGCACTGTCCATCACTAATCAAAGAGAACGTGGACTTCCATCAGCTACTCCCCTGGGATGAGCTTCCCGAAGAAGTAAGGCCAGAATCTGGAGGCCTACCTGAAAAACGAATTCAACGAAAGAGGGAGCAAATTAGCAATGTTGTTAACGCCGTGATATCACTCATCGATAATGGAAGCTGTAGGTGAAAAATACCTGACAATTATAGTACATATCTACTACGCTTGATGATTCCTCAGAAGGCCATCACTCGAATATATTGATATACTTCTATTCTATCTATTTAGATAATTTTTAATGCGTCCAACAAAGTAATAATCTATTTCTCCTTCTTTGTAGTGATCAAATCGAACGAAATAATACTAATAGAGACGATGAACGTGTGAACCAATCTCTCTTTCGCTCTATATACATACCGGTTTTTCAGCGCTGACAATCGTAGATTTTTGCTCAGGCGGCGGCCATGTGGCTATTGCAGTAGCCTATCTGTTACCAAATTGCCAAATAGTCCTGGTCGAAAACAAGTATGAATCGCTACATCGGGCTCGAGCACGCGCTAAAACATTGGGCTTGAATAATGTACGATTTTGTCAATGCAATCTTGACCGATTTTGCGGTCACTTCGACGTTGGCGTGTCCCTGCACGCCTGTGGGGAAGCCACGGATCTCGCGATGGATAAATGCCTTCAGTCTGGAGCGTCATTTGTGTCGGTTCCCTGTTGTTATGGGGGCATTAGTCGAGCCTTTCCATTGCATGAAACACTGACTAATGCTTTAAAAACAATTCAGCCAAAGGTGAGTACAGACATCACGTCTTGTAAGGGTCTGTCAATTTTTTTTATATTTATAATAATGGTTATAGAATTTTGTATTAGCGTTTTACGTATCTGTTCTCTCTGATATCTCTTGACGAGTATCTCTTTGATAACCCAGTCTAGGACTACAGTAACGTATTTTGTTTTTATCAACTTAATTCACCGTGGAACAAATACCACAATTTGGGTCGTGTAACTCCATACATTGTGTGTATTTGATAATTCTATCATTAGCAGGATATTGGCGATGCAGCAGTTGTCCAAGAATTTCCGAACCAGGGTCCTGATGACACCTCGATGTACAAGCTCTTGTGTCATTTTGCTGATCGGAATGAATGCGAGGAGGGTGCTCTTTGTATGAGCATAATCGATTCAGACCGGACCCGATACATCACATCTCATGGCTACGAGACGCAGCTCACGAATATTTTACCATTGAGTTGTACGCCTAAGAATAATATGATCGTTGCACGAAAACGTTTAGCTAAACAAGAACCACTTACTTTGAGTTGATTTCACCCTTTGTCCGTGGAGGCTAAAGAAGCAAAAGTGTTTATGTGGCCCAATTAAATGGCATCTGCTACGTCCGTGGCAGTATTAGTGATACTATAGGCGAAGTTGGTGGCCTTGGATACGGAAGAATTGAGGTTTTGATCCAGTGGTACATATTCTATAATGAATGAACGGTATTTCTTATACTGTCCTGGCCCGATTAAGTATCTAGTATTAAATTAGCTTAATTTCTTGCAATGAGTAATCGGCGAGTATGATAAGTCACATTCGTGGCCAACATTCTAGTGGAAAAAGACGATTTAGCTTTGATTTTGAATAAATCCTAAAGAGCAAAAGTGACTGGCATTAGTGCATCGAGGCACGGTCTGTGTTTTCAGCTAGTTTACGAGTTGCTGTCAAGCTGTTTTCCCTTAAAAGTGCTTTTAGGCGCTCGTCACTGATTTCGTATGGCGGACCAGAACGGGCGCACCCTCGAGGTCCAAGATGGCATTTTTGGACCGTCTTCGAGCTGTTTTCTCACTTACATAGTCTTCGTTGGATAGGGCGCAAAATATACCTGGCACACTAGTGGATTTTTTATTTAAACAAAAGGCGAAATCGTATAAGCGCCGGAAGTGCATTTTTTTATTTGCAACATCTTGTTTTGAAGTCTAATCTCGACATAGAATTCCAAATACCGCAAAAAAATCAATACACTTATAAAGTATAGAAAATTTATCAGAGTGGAAAGTATCTTTTTATCCACGAAAAACAGTAATTACATATATATATATATGGTAAAGGAGTAACTGAAACAAGGAGCGTTTAAGAAATAGCTCGTCATGACTTCTGCAATAACATATCGACTTGGTTCATTGTGTATAGACTCTGTTTAGGATAAGCTTTATAAATCATATAACGTGCTTCATACTTAATTCCATTAAGTTAGTCTGATTATTGAACTAATTATACTAATATATATGGTCTGACTATTGAACTGATTATAATCTAAATTATCGAACAACATTCACTACTTTCTCTAGCGCGTCGAGAAAATCAACGGAGTGGACGTCTATTTTAAACTATCATTAGAGAACAAATATCTTTGGTTTGGAACCAAATATACGAAATACTAAACAAAAAACGAAAAATAAATAAAATAGACTGCCCTGTAAATTTCAGGTTTATTTTTTCTAGATAACTAGGAGGTGACGATATATTGTTGATAAATATATGTGACACTGATGAAGCCTAAAACACACTTTCGCTGTTCTTCGTTTCGGGATCCTTCTATGTTTTGCTGTTCTGATGACATCGTTTGGCTGTTTCAAATTGACTGGGTTTCTCCGCAACTTAGATATCAGTGTGTGTTTCAACAGTGTATTTGTTCTGGTCATGCTTCGATTTTAAAGGTGTTATGTCATTCAGCGTGGAAATAAATTCAATGCTACCTATTTACGCTGAGTATTATACTATGCTTTCACGAAATCTGTAATGCTGAGGCGATGTGGCAAAGGATTTGGTGACTTCCAGACTACAATTCAACTCTTTAACCGGCATGCGCATTTCTGATTTTGCGCATATGTAGGTGTCCATGAGATGGTGTGGTGGTAACGCGTTAACCTACTAAACTTAGGGACTTTACATTGGTGCAATATACTTCTTCAACTTTAATATAGGAAAGCTGGGTAAAAGCGTTCACATAAATGGATTTATCAATGCATAATTTTACGCTCATGGCGAGCATACACATCAGATTTTTGTAATTTACGGTAAAAACCGTGTCTATGTCTGCTAGCAGCTCTTTCATTTTACCCTGTGATGACAGAGAATCTTATTCGACTATTTACGAACCTAGCTTCTTAGAGGCAGTCAGCTTCCCAGGAGGAGAATGCTCCAGTCCAATTCTATAACGCAGTAAGCTTTTGCTTCTGGATGCGTGTAAACAGGTCTATGAAGAAAAGTGAAGCATATTATGTTCTACTCCTATCTGATTGCAAAGGCTATAAGGGTACCCACGAAAAACACTCTGAACTCCATTCAAATGAGTTTACGATTGATGAGTTTCAAATTTTATGTGTGGGGTACAGACCACTAACAACAGATTTAGGGCTACATTACTTTTTGGTGAGCATCTATCGCCATTGAATGCACCAAGAAATACGTACTTATAATGGAGATAAATATCTTTTGTAACATTTTGCAAGTTCATTCATATTTTTCAACCTGTTAGCGTGCTTAGTTACGGTTATTTCCGCATATGTAGCATCGCATCAAAGATATTCAAGCTCGAAGCTTTACGGTACCACCTTCGAACAGTGCTAAGTTTAATCATTACGTTAAACAAAGAACATGTTGCAGTTAGCCACGAAATGCTATAGCGTCTTTTGCCTACACTCATACAAAAGGCAATGTGCGTAAACATTACGTAGTCTTTATTCCTATATCTTTATTCCTAATATCCATCGATCCCATCGATCCATCGATCGATGTGTTCAGTGTAAAACATTAGATGTGGCAATACCTTTAGATACCTTGGTAAATGCTCCCATTGGGGTATTCAGAGATTTAGATCTAGAGATGGCCGTCAGCTTATCAAGTGACTAAGCAACATAATGCAAAGGCTCATTATTGGATGGGTATGAACGGTCTATAAGGCTATAAAAAACTTGCATGAATTTGCCCTCAAAGGGGTATCGGTTTTTTGTGATCGATTGCATCGACAGTTCGGTGATTTTTCAGAGAAGGTCACGAATACTCTGAAGCCAAAGTGTTTACCCCCCGGCCAACTATTTACAATATCGCCTGACAATTGTTGACATACACAATGCGAATGACTGAAGAGAAATCCTATGCAATATCGCCGCTACTGGTAAACTTAATTTCGATTACAAAATCTACTTGCGTGTAATGCAAAAAAATTTACTTAGCAAGGTAGAGCTTATGTTCGCGTTGAATACGCTATGCTCTGAAGCGGTGAAACCGTCGAGTTGCCGTGCTTTTTCACAAAGGTTGAGGAAGTTTTAATCTTTAAGGCATCACATTTGGAAAAACATAATAAATATTTAATTCATAATCGAGAGTATTCCACTCTGATCATATCTGGCATGACTTTGATAAAAAATATTGATCTTATGTTTAAAATAAATCGATGATTGTCGTGTTTTTTTTTTCGTTTTTTAACCACATGGCTATTGAAATTTGTCGACAGTAGACAAATTTGCCTTGAACGATTGGTGGTGCAACATGAATGGTAGCGCTGTCAGGACGAAGATCAAGTTACCGAAAACGGCGTTTTTGTTAAACTCCGACACGCAAGAAGTTCCGCACCCTTCTGGAAAACAGAAAAAGTTTTAGAACAAGGTATTATAGAACATAAAGACCCTGCTTTATCATTAAGCGTGGATTTACGATGGTTAAATAGGTCTTTGAAGGCCTGTAACGAACCTGCTACTGAAATACCGCATCACAAGTAGACTGTCAACTATGGTAACCTATTTACCATCACATAATCTAAATGGTACAAGCATAGCTAAAGGCAGATAGCCAGCTGCCGTAATTTTATTCTATACTTCTGCAGACATTTTGCGAAGACTAAAGTTGGTTACCATGTCCATTGTCAAACAAATAGGAGAAAATTAAATTATTAAATATAATACATGTTAGCTTTAAAACAAAAATCTCTTCACGTAGTCGGAACTCTTTGTCCGTACGCTTCTTTTATATTTGAGGTTTAGAGTAAAGCTTCATGTCAGGTATCACGGCCCATAACTTGTCGGTCAAATGTGATCCTGCAAGGGTGAGCTCGTAAGATATTGACTATTCTTAGCTATCTATACTTCAGATTTCGCCTTCATCAAATGTGCGGGTATTTTGGCTGTCCCTTCCCGTAAAGTGTTAGTCGGGTATTATGTAGCATACTATGAAGCCACATTCGGCTTTTTCAATCTATTGTATTCACATACGGGTACAGTGATTTCAAGGGATACTATGGTGACCATCCAGGTATTGACGGCCTTGTAGTCCTTACTTCATGAGTCGATACTATAGCAATGTGTGTACTGGATTAAACTGCGGTATCGGAAACCAAATAAAATTAACTGTTTGATACTATGAAGTCCTTTATTGCACTTTTTCAATATGCTTAGGTCAATAAAACTGATAGAATAATTTTCCGTTTTGGGCGTCTGTTAAGAAAAATTGAATAAAAGCCTCTTTTTTTGTCATGGTGGCGCCCGATTAGCTCTTTTTCATAATGCCTATAGCAAAAGCTTAACATGTAAATTAAATAAGTTAAAATCAAATCGTATTTACTACTTTGTTAGCTTCGTACTTAACTGCCGAGTGAAGGGATGATCGGTATTATTTCGACTCAAGTGAGCTTAATCACAGAACACGGGACACACAAACCACAGCTAAAATGTTATGAAATTATATAGCATAATGGTATGAAAAAATTATCCAAAACAAAACAGTTACCCGCCGCATAAAGGATGTTTACTCTAAAATAGCAAACCGTTCAGATCGTTGACAGCGCTTCGCCACTGCCTGTGAGACATAGTTGTTATAGTGGCCGATGCAATCGTTAACCCTTTTGCCACCATTCTGTCGGTCGTTGAAATCTGAGGTCTGCCGGTTCCTTCTTTCGCTCTGGTTATCTGCCTGTGACAGGATGGCAACACCAAGGAAACACTTCAGCACGTTCTGCCCAGGCTTAGTTGGTCCGCTAACGTGCCGACTGCTCACAGCCTAGTGGCATCAGCAAGAAACACGTTCACGTGTATATTGCCATAATTACTAGAATAACTGTTATTCGGCTAAAGTCGTATCACGGTATGCTATGTTAGCTTATTGTTGTTACTTATTATTAGAATTACCATAAGGCAGACGAAAGTCCGAAAGCGCGACGTAAAATGCAGGCCGGCGCGCGACCTGTCAGGAGAGGAATCTGCTAATTATTTCCATTGTCACACTGATGGCGGCAGCCACAACAAGAACGAACAATAGGGGGAGACAGCAGAAGTAAGAACTGCGACAACTGGCCAGCGGTTATGTCTGTTTACTCATGTTTACAGAAGCTCGAAATATAATTCTTATGTGTACAACATCATTATTATACGTTGATTTGACTTCTTTTTATGAAGATGTAGAAGCTAAGATTTACAACATTCAAATTTTTCATTCACGAGCGTAATACAAGTAAGGATAACGCTCAGATGCTTTAGCTGGGTATTTACGGGTGTGTAACTGTCTATGGCTTCGATGTCACAGTGTTTCGGAAGACCCTTAAACCAGTCTGCTGGCTAGGATTTATAGATCGACATTTAAAAATATTCAAAGATTATAGCTGTAAAATACCTAATAAAGTTTCATTGCAATTGCCTTCACACAGTGCAAATCATATCATATTGATTTCAAAAATTGTCTGTCTTGTATGTTGGCTCATGGGCAAACTTAAAGCAACTATCTGGAAAATGTCGTTTAACCGTTAATGGGATTTCTATTTTTCGACAAGAGATCTTTCCCTGTGCGTAAGGTTAATTCAATCAGACGAGGGTAATCTTGCGTCTGACTTCCTTAAGCATCTAGGTGCTAAGACATATAAAAGATACGGAGTCTCTAGTGAAGAACTATCGGTGTTTAACTCGAGAGCTTCTGGTTTGCTAGGTTCGACAACAGATTTTAGTTGGCTATATTATAGGAAATTAGACAGCCTTTTAGTCTTGACCAACACAACTTTGACGAAGCAAAGTGAGTGGCACTCTAATCTATGTTTATGATCGAAGGTAGTTCGTCCATGGAGACTGTGACGCTCATTACGGCCCTCGATAGAGACACTGACTTCGAATTGAGAATCGGTCACAGTTCTAGGAATTGTTCTGTTTGACGAATCGTAGTTTCTTTGCTAAACTAGTTATAGCATAAATTGGATAGAGGAATACTACGTGTCTTCTTCTGTTTTTTACGAAAGTAAAGTGTAAGAATAAGCCAGCATGCAGCCCATGCAAGAGGACCCAAGTCTAAGCCTCACCGCTCCAGTGGAACAGCGATTGCCGAATACTCTCAGCGGGTGCTGATCAACAATGCGGTAATCGACATGTCTATCTCGGTTCAAAGGTGCATAGTAGCATGCTTTCACGTAGTCTACCTAGATCGCATCATTAAGTCAACATCGTTCAAA